ATATGAATATTTCTCATACGCTTAAATTTTTTTTTTCTTACTGTTCACTCAAAATTTTAATTACCGAATTAAAAAATATTTTTAGTCAAAAATTATAAAATTACATAAATTTCATCACAAAATAATTTAATTTTGAAACAAACTACAAGTGCCAAAAATAAACTTAATCAATAGACAAGGCATGTGGTTGGAGAAACATCAATGGGCTCCATGAGCAAATCTTCGGCTTGTCTGACCGTACCATCCGGTACGTATAGCCAACGGGAATACATATATTGACCAACAAAGTAACAAAATCCTTATTTTTCATATTTTTTAAAATTAAAGAAATGCCATCATATCATAATATATACATTACACTAATTCTTATATTTAAGATCACAGATAATATAACAAAATCAGACTATATACACACTTTCTTTGATCCTTTATATTGGATATTTTATATGAAGTACTCTTGGTCATTTTATGAGTATTAAATATTTTTATATATGCGCCGTATTTAACAAAGGTAATAAAAAAAGTATAAAGTAATTGATGTTAGAATAATAATAGAAATCAATTAAATTTTTTGAATAATAGAATAAAAATATAAAAAGACATAGATAAGTTGATAAAGTGATTTATTCTCTTTTTTTTTTTACCAAATATCCATCAATTCAGAAATAATGGTTATTAGGTTATAACTCCTAATGGACTGACTTGCCGGTAATTGGCTAGTTTTTCTACACTTGGTTTATGGGTGAACCCAATTTTTTACCTAAAAATTTTATACTACCTCTGATTTTTAATACTCCTCCAGTCCTAAATATAAGACTCTTATACACACTAATATAAGGGTCTTATATTTAGGACTGGAGGAGTGTAAAAACTTGTTTGATTTTTATTTTAGTTCTAAATATAAAATCTTAATATATTTTGTTTCTCATATTTATTAATTTTTTTTAAAGTATAGTTATTGCAATAACAGTAGTTCTAACCAATACACTTGATTAACAAAAATATTTTAAGAAAGACAACACTATTTATTACAAATAACTAATTTTCTTAATCTACTCAAATTAGTTAATTAGCTCTTATATTAAGAATTGAAGGTAGTATCAAACAAAAAAAAAATGGTTATGGGTGTTTGGAAGTACCAAAAAATATTTTTAAAAAGTATTTTCAAGTAAATTGAGACAAAATTCCTCTTACATACTTATTTTGTATATCATAAAATCATTTTTAAAATTATAATTTGATTTACACCCAAACCACCCCTATAATATCTAAATGTGAGTTTTTGGTTTGATTTTGTGAATACATACAATGTTTTTATCTCAACTAGACTCGATAATAGTTAAATCTGAGTTATTACTATATTTGATATCAAATCAAATCAAATATGTTTATGAAAAAAAATAGAGGCGGCAAGTGTACCTGGTAGTTGAAAATAACCACCAACTAACTTTATATAAGAAACACGTGCTTTCTTGTAAGGCTAGAAGGGGGGCACCATCAACTCATTTGCTCTGCTGAGTCCGGGACTACATAGCCCATTTATTTAGTCCAGGCTTGGTCCTAACCGGCTAAACCAGCTCCTTCTAAAAAGAGAAAATTAATGAAAATTAATTGATTTTAGAAAAAAAAATACAATCTTTTAATTTTGTATAACATTTCAATTTATTCATATAATTTTAAAAAATCTTTTCGGTATCTTTAACTCTAACACCTCTTAAATGATGATTTTTTTATCATGATTTTTGTATTTTGATAAATTAAATTTAATATACCAATATTTGAGAATCTTCAGTTAACATTAAAAATTTAATATTAATATTTTTAACGGCACTAAAGTTTAAAAAAAAAAACAGAAAGACACTTTATAAAATGAAACAACCAAAATAAAACCTTGAATAAAATTAAGGAATTAAATTAAAGATGCATTTTTGTCATGATTTTATAAAGGTTTTTTTTTTTTTTGAAAAGACAAAAAGAAATAACAGTTATACAGTTACAATAAGATAGTGTATAGATAATATAACGAGAAGCATCTAAAACAGCAAATAATGAAATAACCTTAGCAAAATACTCAGAAAAGCGAAGGAAAAAAAATCCTGTCAAACTATACTTGAAAGAGACAAAGGCTTTGTGAAAACATGAATAAATTTTAAGGGGATATATTATGGATAAGGATAATTACATTAATTTTTTAATAAATGAAATTATTTTTTTCTATTGTTTTTAAATTTTAACTTCTTTACTTTGTGTAGCATAAACTGGACCTAAAAATAATATGATCTATCCCAATCAATCACCATGTCATTATATTGTATGACCTAAAATGTTCATCCAACCCAAAAGCTAGTGTCAAACTCAACCCTCATGTGTACTAGAAATTAATTACACATTGTAAGGATGCGGAGACGAGTTTTGTTGTTACAGATTTTGATGATAATAGATGTTGCCCAGAAACCTACCATACACATAAATGAGTACTTATATATACCAAAAAAATAGTAATTAATGCTTAAAAAAGAATGGTAATTGTGTGTGTGTATAGCAATTGTTTTCTTTTCAACAATTTTTTATTCTCGTGTATATATAGTTATAAACATAAAAGTTCAAATTAAATTAGTTGAATATGTATATCCTAAATGACTGTGGTTTGCATTTTATTATTTATCATTGTTAATTGCTACTTCTGATTCTTAATACAAAATCTAATTGACTAATTTGAGAAGATTAAGGAAGTTAGTTAAGTTAGTTATTTAAAGTAAATAGATGATGTCTTCACTAAAATATTCTTATTAATCATGTGTGTTTGAATTACCCATCAATAGCAACTCTTTAATATATGCAACAATTAAATGGGTTACTTGAGAGCAGAATAAATAAATATTGGAAATAAAATGGATTGAAATTTTATATTTCGAACAAATTAAATTGCAAACTATCTTTTATATTAAGGATCGGAGATAGTATAATATACTTTATATATAGATGGCCTATTTTTATTATAACCATAAATTACCTATTGTGAATAAATACAAAACAGTGCTCTTCTAATTCTCTCAGCAGTATTTTCTAAATTTGATGATCAAATCCCTACCTGAGAATGAGAAATTACCTAAACCTAGAAAAAGGCCAACTTCAAAGCACATGGGAGTTCATAATGGTTTCCATAATTTGCTCTTTTCCGCTTGTTCCCATAGTTCATCCATCAACCCCACCAATTCCCAGTTTTGGCCAATTCCAAGAGATTTTGTAAAATGTCTAACAAATTTGACTTCTATTTTTAATACTACTTCCGATCTTAATTATAAGACTTCGTTTTATAAGATCTCGTTTATAGATGATATCTTATAATCAGGACCGGAGGTAGTATTATAAACTTTTTACATTAGGAATGATTAAGATTTTAGTTGTTGCAGACTTTTATGAGTTGTTATCTAGTGTGTGATTATATTTATATACTGATCTTTTTTATAAAATAAAATAGCTTGCTTTTCTTTTAAAAGAAAAAAATTTGCTCACTTGTCAAAGCATCCACGTAGTTTACATACAATCCTCAATCCAAACTCAAATGATTCCTCGCTCAGATTGAACACCATCTTGCATCTCTTTGCCATAGCTGCTTATTTTTCAACAATATTCAAACTTTAAAATAATAACATTTTAACTGCCAGATTCTATGGTACGTATATAACAACATCGCTTTAATGATGATTTTGAGAAAGAGGAGGAAAATAATGCAAAGGAAACTAGGAGAAAAGATGAACTGTGAGTGACTAACTACTAATAAAATACAGAACTTATTTGAAAGTCATGTTAGCACACGTAACATGATTGAGTGATGACTTAAAGTGAGTTATGTATGACATAGGTTAATTTATTAAATGATACAAGGTTTAAAATTGAATTTTAACTGAGTTAAAAAGTTCAGTATTAAGTCGAGTAGTTAAAACTTGAAAGGTCAAAAAATTAATTTTTCCCAAAATCTAATATATATATATATATATATATGTATGTATATGTAGGCACTAATACTAATTTATTGAAAAGATTAAACAAAAAGATGTTGGGATGCAAAAACTAAGTTATCTAGTCAAATTATTTTCTATCCCACTTTTGAGTACCATAATTTTATTATCAGATTGATTTATACAATTTCTGGGATTATAAACAAAAAAGCTACTTCTTTTTTTTTTCCAGGTAAATATGATTTTATATACATAATTTTAATTTTAACAAGCTGCATTATTTATAATTACAAATAATATGACTTGTTTTTCAAAGCTTTGTTAAAACCCTAAACCCATGCAAGTTTCACTTTAATTTGTTATGGCTTGTTACTTATTACCTCCGATCCTTAATATAATACCTTATTTGATTTTTATTTTGGTTCTAAATATAAGACCCCAATCTACTTTCTTTCTCATATTTATTTTTTTCAAAATACTCTTTCTAATAATGGTATTTCTAACCAATAAACTTGATTAGCAATAATATTTTAAGAAAGACAACACCTATTTATTATAAATAACTAACTTAATTGTTTCTTTAATTTACTCAAATTAATCAATTAGCTTTTATATTTATGGATCGGAGACAGTATTATATAAGCTAATTGACTTCAAACAATTTATTATATATCTTCAAATAGGACAAGTCTGAGCATTCATATAAGTGAGAAGAAAAGATGGGGAAATGATATACAATTAGGAAAATGAAAAGTCCAAGGAAGTTTGTTTGATCTTTTTGAGTTCGACACTTAAAAAATCTAATCGTTGGTGAACTAAACGTCAAAGCAAAGCTTTGAGAGCCCGTGAATTCATTTTAATCACTATGAACGTAGATTATGCCAAGTCTTTGCAATAGAAAATTAAGAACCTTATCTGCATAACATTATCGTATGAGTCCATGCTACCTTTGGGGTCCGTCAAGGGACCAAAAGCAAATTTCATCCACTCATGTGACATCCCTATCTATTTGGGAAAAGCCACTAGCTTTGGTCATCAGCCACTATTTCACACGAGCCTCTCTTTTACTTACTTCTCACTCTCATCTGCCCAGTGTCTCAGACACTAAGGACCCAATCTGCGATTCGGGTTGAACCCATTTCGAGCGCTTCAGCTTTAGCCATTTTGCGACTGTGTTCTGGTAAGTTTTTGTTTTCTCTATTGCCACTGTTCTTTCTTTTGAAAAGGGAAGTTAAAGGGAATGTATCATCTATGATGGTTCGCGATTGATCTTGTTGACAGATAAACTGTGTGCAATACGATTATAACTGATTTCAGCAAATCCCACAATTTTTATTGGGTTGTTTGATGATGTTTTGTTTTGAATGTGATACATGAAGAAAAGGCAAAAGGGTATGGGTTACAAGTACTTTTTTACGCTGCTGATTGCTTTAGTAGACCTAGTTCACGAGAGGCACGCTTGAAATGCGTTCTATGAACGGTGATAGTCCAGAGCTTTATAGCTATTAGCCAGCAGAAAAGTCAACTCTTTATGGCTTACATTTTTTCTGTCAAATCTTTAAATCGTGTGAAACGACTCAATCTTTTGTCCTCATGTATGTTTTCTAATAATAAATGAACTGTACTGATATCGTTTGGTCTGCTACTTTGAATTTTGATATTTTATGGTACATGAAAAACTTTATAGTTCCGTATGTACATTAAATACTAGCAAATAAAGTCGGATGATCATGTGTCTTCTTTGGATGTCTTCTAAAACTACCCAGCTGGTTAGTAGGGTAAACAGGGGAGAATTGAAAAATCTGCTAAAATAAGCTAGATTAGCGGCTATTTTGAACAATTACTAGGTTCGATTATGCTATATATATAGTTGCTAGCCAAAAAAAGAGAGTGAGACTATGCTATAACTATATATATGTATATATTGAAAAATGTTGAAGTAAGCCCGAATTCAATTTTTTCAAAAAAAAAAAAAATTGATACTCTTGGCTAAGTTGGTTATATAAAGAAATTTGACTTGGCTAGCCAATCATAGTATCTCATTTTCTCAATGAATTATTTTCCTGTTGGTTTTATGCACTTAATCTGATATTATGCAACAAGGCATATTAAAGGGCTTAATAAGAACCCTGATGGGAATGTCAAATTGGGCTTTTGGAGGATTGATGATTAAATTTAGGACTATTATTTTGGACACTAGTCGCCTGTCTTTAATCGGGTGAGATTGGACAATATCAGATGAACATTTTTCTAGATTATTATGCTAAATCATTTCGTGCTTAATGCCAATAAAGAAGTTGTATTTAAAGTCAAATCTGATTCTTTACTTTTGGGCGGAGAGAATGGAGGTTTCTGATGGCTATACTATGTTAAGTGGCAGACTTAGCTACCCTCTGCATATCAATAATAGCTTGGCAGGATTTGATGACCACTTTTAAGAATGATCTTATTTGGGGCATCACTAATGCTCATTTGAAGAACAGCTAATAAATATCATGCTTTCAAACTTAATGCTATGTATCTTGTGTTCAATCTCAATTATAAAATCATCATGTCATCAACTCTGATGCTTTTTTCCTGGGCATGTGATTTCTCTTGGCTTTATTATGTTCAGTAAGGAGCAGAACATGGCACAGATTTTGGCTCCCTCTACACAATGGCAGATGAGAATCACAAAAAGTTCTGCCAATGCAAGCCCCATTTCATCAAAAACGTGGAGTTCTTTACTGTTTAAACAAAATAAGAAAGGTGCACCTACCAGCTCTTCTAAATTCAGAGTGTTGGCAATCAAGTCTGAAAATGGTACTGTCAACAGGCTAGAGAATCTGCTTAATTTGGACACCACTCCATTCACTGATAAGATTATTGCGGAGTACATTTGGTATTTCATAACACTTTCTTGCCCCACTCTCTCTTATACATGCTTGTTTTTTTCTTTATGTTCAACTTTGAACTAAACCTTATGGGTAGTGGTATTAATAATAAAACTGTTTTAACAGGATCCAGACATGAATAACGATTTCCGTTTTTATGCTTCTGTATGAGACCACTAATGTTTAACAATGTCATATTAATTTGTGAAACAGGGTTGGGGGGACCGGAATTGATGTGCGCAGCAAATCAAGGGTATGTTATTTCTAATGTTGTGAACAGGCTAGGGAAGACAATATTTCATCATAGTTGATATTTGACTAATCTCAAATGAATTTTATGTTAATTTCAGACTATACCAAAGCCTGTTGAACATCCCTCTGAGCTCCCTAAGTGGAATTATGATGGATCTAGCACTGGACAAGCACCTGGCGAAGACAGTGAAGTAATCCTATAGTAAGACTCTTCCAACTTACACTTATTTTGACGTGATTTTCTAATTTATACTATGACATTTTAATTTACCTTTCTTACTTTATTCAGTCCTCAGGCAATTTTCAAAGATCCTTTCCGTGGTGGTAACCATATTTTGGTAAGAGCTTGGACATCTGAAGGGGTCCAACGTTGATTTATTGAAATAGAATGCAAATATCATTAAGATAATGTGTATTATACTGTTTTGCAAAGGTAATTTGCGATACATACACCCCAGCAGGCGAGCCTATCCCCACAAACAAGCGGCACCGAGCTGCTCAAGTCTTTAGTGACCCAAAGGTCATAGCTGAAGTTCCATGGTATATATTCTCCTTGCTTTTGTTGTAATACACCATTATATGCATAGAAGAAAGGACAAGCACACCATTGTGTTAATGAAATGTACGCTTTTATGGGGCAATTTTTTAAAAAATATTTACCTACCATCACAAAGCTGCTTGAACCTTTAGTGACCCAATGGGCGTAGCCGAAGTTCCATGGTATATATCTCCTTGTTTTCCATTGTAATACATCATTACATGCATAGAAGAAAGGATAATGAATTGAATGCTTTAATGGGGCAATTTTTAAAAAAATATAAACCAACTATTATTTTGAAGTGAGAGTCCTGCATAAAGGCATGATCTTAGGAAAACCACCAATTGAGTTCAGCATTGATATTAGTAGTACCTATTTTATTTGTATTCCAATGCATATGGCATATCCCTTCTGCCAATGCCTGCTTTTATGTATGCATTGGATTTTTCCCTCACTTGATCACTTATTCACTTCTATGAACCTTAGGCAACTGAACCTTTGTTATTAACTGTTGAATCATTATCTTAAAGAAGAAAACATGCTAATGTTTTTTGTTGATTGCACCAAGGTTTGGAATAGAACAAGAGTACACTTTACTTCAAACAAATGTAAACTGGCCCTTGGGTTGGCCTGTGGGAGGCTATCCGGGTCCTCAGGTAATGTGTTTCGTACATTTGTCAAGTTTCATCCTGATTTATGGGATTTTGACAACTCTTTTACACGAATACTATCTAATTACTCCTTAATCTATTAGGGTCCCTATTATTGCGCTGCTGGGGCAGATAAATCATATGGTCGTGATATATCAGACGCTCATTATAAGGCTTGCATATATGCTGGAATCAACATCAGTGGTACCAATGGGGAGGTTATGCCTGGGCAGGTCTTTCTCATACCTTTCCCTTTCTTTTATCGCTTATGAATTTTTGAGTTTATTATTTGCCTTACATTTTCTTTCATGAATATTCCAGTGGGAGTTTCAAGTTGGTCCTAGTGTAGGTATTGATGCTGGTGATCATATTTGGTGCGCAAGGTACATCCTTGAGGTAATTCAGTCTACCCACTTGCAATAATACATGTACCGTTGGACCATATGAAACTGGAAGGTTAAGTTTTTAAATGAATTGGCTAAAGACGTTATGAAGGCATAATGAGGAAGCTTGATGTTTTGTTATTTGTGTGCTAGTTTGTCTGAGGAATGATATGCAATGCGATGTTTTTTCTCTCGACTAAAGCAGTACTGCAGTAACTATGTTGTATGTGTAATTTTCAACATCAGAAGATTGCTTTTACCTCTTTTATTTAAGTCTTTACACTTCTTCCCCAGTTGGATAGGCCAATGATGGACCAGAATACTCATTTTGCTTGTAACTGGACATTGTTGTGATCTTTTGTGAACTGAGTTATTTGTGTCTTTTCTTGTCATCATTTACTCTGTATCATCTGATGAGTTATGTGGCCTTTCTTCTCTGTTCTGGCAGAGGATCACTGAACAAGCTGGTGTTGTTCTCTCGCTTGATCCAAAACCAATACAGGTACTATAATGCTATAACTGACAGCAATTCTTTTTCACTGGTAATCATTTTAATGTTTTCGCATTTTGTTTCAATAGGGTGACTGGAATGGCGCAGGATGCCACACCAATTACAGGTTTTGGCCACGTCCCGATCATTAATTCTAATAGTGAGCCCTTGTAGCTTGCTAGATTACTAAGGTGCTGAACTTTCATTGGTTTTTCAGTACCAAGAGTATGCGGGAAGATGGAGGCTACGAGGTGATAAAGAAGGCAATTTTGAACTTATCACTGCGTCACAGGGATCACATTAGTGCATATGGAGAAGGAAACGAGAGAAGGTTGACAGGAAAGCATGAGACAGCCGACATTAACACGTTTTCTTGGGTATGACTTAAACTTGTTAATACATTTTGGTGGAAGATTAACAATTTAAAAACAGTGGAAAGTTGATATTCTTTGAAACACTCTTATAAAATCTAACTTGCAGGGAGTGGCTAATCGGGGTTGCTCAATTCGCGTGGGAAGAGACACAGAGGCGAAAGGCAAAGGTAAAATTGCCCATGATATTTTTGCAACTCGTAGTTGGTCTTGCTTAACATTAGACCAATAGAAACAATTTGGCTCCTTAATCTGTCTGCAGTTATGATATGTACTGATATGTATCATCCAACTTTTATTAGCTTACGCGTTCTGAATGATTGCTGATTCGACAGCTTTTTTGAGGTCATTCTGTGTGCAAAAGAATCCTTATACCGGAACTTGCGCTATAGCTAAAATCTGAAGGACCGGTTCAACCGGAGAATAGAGTTTTCCTCCACATCTTTTTCCCCAAGGAACAACCATAATGAAACAATTAGAAACTTGAGTCACTTCATTTCATTTCTTTTTTGGCCAACAAAGTGAATTCATTTCAAAGTAGTTCTCTCTTAATTAAGCGTACTATAAGGATTTCTGGTTTACCCCCGGATTGAGATGCATCTAGTTCCCACCTTTTTTGTTTTGTGAACATTTTACAACCTATGCATTGCAAAATCATATGCCTTGGTTTCTACCAAGTACTATTTTGATTTCTCCAAAAAAAAAAAATCTTGGCATTACACAGCCCCATTCTGTTTACTGCTCTCATTCTAATTGTCATTAGCTCCCTTGTTGTTCGCTTTGAACTTAATTTACGTCCAGAAACCGTCATACTGAGGCTGTTTAACTACTGGAATCTACCATTGTTTCTAGATTTTTATTTCTTTGGGTTGCCAATCCTCTTAATTGTAGGTTACTTGGAGGACCGGCGTCCAGCTTCAAACATGGATCCATATGTTGTGACATCGTTACTGGCAGAAACTACATTATTGTGGGAACCAACACTGGAGGCTGAAGCTCTTGCAGCTCAGAAGTTAGCATTAAAGGTCTAAGTCCATTGGTTGATGATTTGAGTGGACTCAGTTTAGCTGAGATTGGTTTGTTAAGTGCTGGAAAGTTCGTCATTGTCAATTTAAATTTGTGCAGAAGGCGATTTTGTCTGGACAATAGATGGGAATAAAGTTTGTCATCTTTGTTATGTGTTGTCAGATGAAATCCCCGCTGGACTGGAATTCTGATTGATTATATATTTAAATATGTTCCCAGTAATGTTTGCATTCTTGGATTGAATTCTAAGGTATTATTAATTCGAGATTTTGTATTTCGTGGCCTTAATTTTATGTCATCCTAGGGCACACATTGATGCATATTATATAAACTTTTTTTTTTTTTTTGCCAAAGCATATTATAAACTGAGAGGAGTCTTAAAATCATGAACATGGAATACACTTCCCTTTTGTTTCATTTGGAGAAGAAATCATTCTATGACAAAAGAAGAAAAGAAACATAACAAATCAGATTTCTGTTATCAATTTACAAGGGAGAAAATTGGTATGTCTGCAAAGTGCGAGGTTAAATAGGTTAAACGAAAAGGATATGCACAGCTTACTACTTACCATAAGGTCTAAATATTAATATTTGTTGCTATTGTGAAATCTATATATACAGGTAAAGAGCTGGAAGTCTAATTTGAATAAATTAAAAAAATTAGTTAAATTATTTATTTGTAATAAATATGTGTTTTTTTTTTTTAATATCTTACTAATAGTCATGTGTATTAGTTAAAATTATCAACTACTACAAAGATTATCTTGAAAAAAAATAGATAAATATGAGAGATAAAATGAATTAGAGTCTTATATTTGAAATAAAATGTCAAATTAGCTTTTATATTAAAGACGAAAGGCAGTATAGGTCTTTGTAGCAGTTTATAATTCTGGATATGAAACATAACAAAACAGCCATAATAGCTGCATCCCAACATATGTGATGTAAAACAAGAAGAGAATGGGAAGAGAGAAGCAATGGCAAAGATTAAAATAGTGAGCGAATGTTATTTTTTCTCATGTTTAGAGGCACAGAAGAAGTGAAAAAAAATGATTTTATAATGACAATTATTAGAATCTTATATTTATTACAAATAACTAACTTAAATTCTTTCCTTAATCTCCTTAAATTAGTCAATTAGCTCTTATAATTAGGACCGGAGGCAGTACTAATATAAAAAGAGACAATTTTGGTTCTCTCCAAAATCTAGAGAAAATTTGGGGAAACAAATATGAGCCATATGTGCTTTTTTTTTTTTAAAAAAAAAAAGCAAAAAGACTTCATTTTATTAATCACCGAAAAAAGTATTTATGCTGTAATAGGAAATTTATATAACTTCACAGAAGTAAAAGATTACCAAATCATCGGTCATTAGAAATTTAGAAGGATATGTCATATATTTAAAAAAGAGTACTGTTATTATTTTTCATCAGATTCAAACAAATAACATTTTTATAATGACATAATCATATTTATAAATGACGAAAATATGACTTTATATAAAATTTATCCATTCTATTTATAACTTTTTTTCATTCTTTTGGTATATAATAAACAATTATTTTATTATTACAATATCCAAATTTCGGTTTTGTAAATTAGTCATTCTTGGTCCTCCAATCAATCAGGCTGAGCCACTCAATCTTATTAATTTGAAAGAAGGATAGGGCATATATATAGAATAGATTTAGATAATCTCCCTCATCTAAATAAGTCAGATTTATTTGAATAATGAATTCCCCCTATTTATGAATTTCTTTTGGAAATGACATCATATATTTTTTCATAGGCACAGCAACATATATATCTTTTTATTAAAGACATTTATATTTAAGACATTATTTGGCATTAAATATGTGTATCTTTTTTATGTAAAATTTAAATCTTAGTTCGTCACATTATGTGAGACTACTAAACCTTTTCGTTAGACTTGATATTAATTATTTAAACTCACACTATGCTACAATTTAAATAGGTTGCCCACATAACCAAATGAAATTACCAAACTTTACCAATAAAGCCCCTCACAATGCAAAGATGAGTTTGCCTCTTACGCTGTGTTTGGCTCGACGGAAGGAAGGGTAGCTACCAAAGGGGAGGGGAGGGGAGGGAGGGAATTTTAATAATACCTTATTTTGTTCTAATAAAAAATTGACTATTTTAACTCATAAAATTTAAATGAATTTTCTCACTTTTTTATTTTGTTAAGATATAACTATATATATAATACAATTCACCAATTTTGATTTACAAGACACAGTCACACACTTATAGAATATCAAGATAAAAAGTCACGAGTGATAGATTTCAATCAGAGAAAAGACTTTGAAGGTGAAAGAAAATACCAACGACATCTTAGAATTAGAAGAAGAGGGAAAAAAAGTTTACAAATGCTCACTAATTTTGGAGACAATTATCTTAATAACCTCTTGTTAGATACTCAAAAGAACTCTCTTATATAGAAATGTTTGCGACTGATTAGATGTTAACAAATCGAAAAGGTATATAAAGAATTAAAATATTATCTCTCACCTCCCCTCCAAAAAAACCCCACTTTTGGAGGGGAGGTTAGAAGGGAAAGGGAGGGGCTCCCCTCTCCTCCTAAAAAAATTACACTAGCCAAACAAGGGGAGGGGAGCAACTTCCCTCCTCTCCCCTCTGAAAATCCCGTACCAAACATAGTGTTAAGTAGGATGTCCTAGTTTGGAACTAGGCCATGTATATGGAAAATTTTTTACTGGGAGAGACAAAACCTATTCTCGCTTAGAACTACATTTTTATTTCTAAACATGCCCTTATATATTAATTAATAAATGAGAAAAAAAATATGCGTATAGATATTCGGGAAAATGACACATAAAGAAGCTTGAAAATGTGAAATGCCAATTTGGAAAGCTAAGAAAATGTAATGACAGATTGACAGAGAGGGAAGTCCTTCTTAAATTGAAAATTGAAAATTTAGTAAAATGACAAAAATACCCTTTGTTTTTTAAAAAAAAAAACTCAACCCCTCACAGGGGTCGGCAGCTGGCAGCCACAGCCAGCCACTGGTGAAGTTTTTTTTGTCACAATATATATATTTTTGCATGGGAGAATATGGTTCAAAGTAGGGGCGTTCAAGGCCGGCCCGTCCCGTTGGTCTATTCCGGTCCCGATCTTATTGGGACAGGACGGATCCGTCCCGAAATTTTTCGGGACGGGACAAAAAAGTGACCGGGATGGGACGGGACACGGACACGGGACGGGGTCGTCCCGTCCCGGTCTCGTCCCAGTTCCTTTTTTTTTATTTAATTTTTTAAAATTTTTTATCCTATTTATATAATATCATTTTTTTCATATTTTTTTAAGATTTGAGACTATTGTATGGAACTATGGATATATTTATTTAGAGTTTTTATATTTGTTAATGATTTGAGATTATTGATGATTAGAATTTTTAGCAAGTTTTTATTGTGTTAAAAGCTTTTGTTTAGAGTTTTTAATGACTATTATATGTAATATTTTGAGCTTTTGTTTAAGAGTGCCCAAACAAATAAATAAAAAATAAAAAGATGTTTTTATAAGGTTTAACTCCAAAAAAATATAATTAAAAAAATCAGATTTTTAAAAAAATTAAAAAAAATTTTTTAAAAAAACTTCGGGATGTCCCGGTCCCGTCCCATCGACCGAGACTGGGACAATCCTAGGACGGGCCGGGACACGGGACAGATTTTCTTTCCCATTACTGTTCATTGGGATGGAACCGGGACGGGCCTATTCTGGTCCCAATCTGTCCCATGAACAGCCTTAGTTCAAAGTGGCAGGGGTGGGATTTGATTCCACAACCCCTTGGCCATTTGGGCCAACAAAAAGAAAGATAAGACTATTGGGTCATCAAAAATTTTTTAACCTTATAATGCAAACAAAAATATAAGTTGACTTTTTTACTGTGACTTCAGCTTATGACAACAATTTACCTGAGGATGACAAGTCGTAATTAAGAAATAACAAGTCTAAATTTGATATTAACAAAGCAACTTTTCCTGATACATAACAAGAAGTAACATGTACATTAATTAAAAATAACCATAATTTATTTGAAAATGACACGTCTTTACTGGAAAATGACAAGTCTAAACTTGAGATTAACAATGTGTCTTTTCCTGATACATAATAAGAAATAACATGTACATTAATTAAAAATGATCATAATTTATTTGAAAAGGACACGTCTTTATTGGAAAACGATAAGTCTAAACTTGATATTAACAAAGCAACTTTTCTTGATACATAACAAGAAATAACATGCACATTTCCAAATAATTGTTGTTATTTTCCACTAAAGACATGTCATTTTCAAATAAATTATAGTCTTTTTTTTTGGTAAAAAATTATAGTCATTTTTAATTAATGTACATACTATTTCTTATTATGTATCAGGAAAAGACACATTGTTAATTTCAAGTTTAAACTTGTTGTTTTTTTAGTAAAGACGTGTTATTTTCAAATAAATTATGGTTTTTTTAATTAATATACATGTTACTTTTTATTATGTATCAGGAAAAGTTGATTTGTTAATATCAAATTTAGACTTGTTATTTTTCAATTAAGACTTGTTATCCTCAGGTAAATTGTTGTCACGGACTGAAGTCACAGTAAAAGACTTAACTTATATTTTTGCTTGCATTATAAAGTTAAGAACTTTTTGATGTTTCAATGGTTATCTTCTCTTTTGTTGGCCCAAATGGCTAAAGAGTTGTGGGATCAAATCCCACCCCTCCACTTTGAACCATATTCTCCCATATATATGTGATGAAAAAATTTCACCAGCATTCACCACACCGGTGGCCGGCGGCCATTCGTAGGCAGTGGTTGCCAGCCACCGGTGAGGGACTGAGGTTTTTTTTAAAAAAACAAAGAGTATTTTTGTCATTTTACTGAATTTTAAAATTCTAATTTGGAAAGGACTATCTTTTCTGTCATTATATTTTCTTAACTTTTCAAATTGGCATTTCACATTTTCAAGCTTTTTTATGTATCATTTTTTCTAGATATTCTCTTATCAGAAGCAATTGTTTTTTCAAATTAAAACTAGAGGGTGCTTTTTTTTTTTTGGGGTGAACGGAGGGTACTTTTTGCTCACATGATTTTCGGCGCAAATCCCAAATTTGTTTATATTTTAAAATCTCAATATCTTCTCTTCCGATGTCCAAATCGAATCGAGCCAATCAATAGTCCAAAATAAAAAACAAATGCAGAAATATCAACTTTTGGATTTCAAAATAAAATAATGAA